GTGAAAATGCCCAAGTTCGGCATGCCAGGCTTCAAGGCAGAGGGCCCAGAGGTGGACGTGAACCTGCCCAAGGCTGACATTGACATCTCAGGCCCTAAGGTGGACCTTGAAGGTCCTGATGTGAACATTGAAGGTCCAGATGCAAAGCTGAAAGGGCCCAAGTTCAAGATGCCAGAGATGAACATCAAAGCTCCCAAGATCTCCATGCCAGATTTGGACCTTAATCTTAAAGGTCCTAAAATGAAAGGTGAGGTGGATGTGTCACTTGCAAATGTAGAAGGTGATTTGAAAGGGCCAGCTCTTGGAATCAAGGGCCCAAAGATAGATATTGATGTGCCAGATGTTGATATTCATGGCCCAGAAGGTAAATTGAAAGGCCCCAAACTGAAGATGGCTGACATGCATGTGAACATGCCAAAGATCTCTATGCCAGAAATTGACCTGAATTTAAAAGGCTCAAAGCCCAAGGTGGATGTTGATGTTTCTGGCCCCAAGTTGGAAGGTGACATTAAAGCCCCCAAGTTGGATATAAAGGGTCCTGAGCTGGACATTTCTGCTCCCAAGGTCAACATTGAAGGAAAGTCAAAGAGGTCTCGTTTTAAGCTTCCCAAATTTAATTTTTCAGGCTCCAAAGTTCAGACACCTGAGGTTGATGTCAAAGTTAAAAAGCCAGATGTTGATGTAACAGGTCCAAAGGTTGATATCAATGCTCCTGATGTTGAGGTCCAAGGAAAAGTGAAAGGATCCAAGTTCAAAATGCCTTTCCTGAGTATTTCATCTCCTAAAGTTTCTATGCCTGATGTGGAGTTAAATCTGAAAGGTCCTAAAGTCAAAGGGGACTTGGATGTTGCAGGGCTTAATTTGGAAGGTGACTTGAAAGGGCCCAAAATGGATGTAAAGGCACCAGAAGTTCATCTTGATGCACCTGATGTGGATGTTCACGGTCCAGAATGGAATGTGAAAATGCCTAAGATGAAAATGCCCAAGTTTGGAGTCCCCAGCTTAAAAGTAGAAGCTCCAGATATGACTGTGGGTCTGCCGAAAGGAGATGTCAACATAGAGGGTCCCACATTGGACATTGAAGGCCCAGAAGTCAATGTGGAAGGCTTAGAAGGAGGCTTAAAAGGCCCCAAACTCAAGATGCCTGATATCAATATCAAAGCTCCCAACATCTCCATGCCTGACATGGACTTAAACTTGAAGGGCCCCAAGGTGAAGGGTGATTTGGATGTTTCCCTGCCCAAAGTGGAAGGGAATCTGAAAGGGCCAGAGGTTGATATCAAAGGCCCCAAAGTGGACATTGATGCCCCAGATGTGGATGTTCATGGCCCAGACTGGCACCTGAAGATGCCCAAGATGAAAATGCCCAAGTTTGGCATGCCGGGCTTCAAGGCAGAGGGCCCAGAGGTGGATGTCACTCTCCCTAAAGCTGACATCGATATTTCAGGGCCCAAAGTGGACATTACTGCTCCAGATGTGAATATTGAAGGTCCCGATGCAAAACTGAAGGGCCCCAAATTCAAGATGCCTGAGATGAACATTAAAACCCCCAAAATCTCTATGCCTGATCTTGACCTGAACCTGAAGGGTCCCAAAATAAAGGGTGATGTGGATATGTCTTTCCCTAAAGTGGAAGGTGACCTAAAAAGTCCAGAATTGGATATCAAGGGCCCCAAAGTAGACATTGACACTCCTGATATTAGCATTGAAGGTCCAGAGGGCAAAATGAAGGGGCCCAAGTTCAAGATGCCAGAGATGCACATAAAGGCCCCCAAGATCTCCATGCCTGATCTTGATTTAAACCTGAAGGGCCCCAAGGTAAAGGGTGATGTGGACCTCTCTCTGCCCAAAGTGGAAGGTGACCTCAAGGGCCCTGAGGTTGACATCAAGGGCCCCAAAGTGGACATTGATGCTCCTGATGTGGACGTCCA